AATCAGAAATAAGCAGCAAACGCGCGTTTGCTGCTTATTTCTGATTAGTTTTACTTTTACTGTCATAAAATAAAAATATTGTTTTGTTTAGAGAAAAAGACTATTAAACTTATAACTTTTTTTAAAAGAACCTATCAATTCTGTAAGATTACTCTTCGAATTATAGATTTACTGAATCCCATCAAATACTAATATTCCTTCAACATCTCACTACTCATAGTACTCAATAGTAACTCTACAGATTTTTCTTTTTTATCATTAGGTTTTGACTGTTCAAAGCAAGTGTATTATTATTGTTGGCAATGCTTATCGCATTTAAATACTCCTGAACAGGCTATATGTACTGATGGATGTTTATTTAATAATAAGAGGCGTCCATTTATGAATGTTATCGAGTTAGCAACCAATAATGTTAAAGATGAAATTTTTTCAACAGCTAAACGATACATAAATCTAATCAATGAGTATTACATTCGTTCAAAGGACATTTTATCGTGTGATGTAATAAATGGCTCCTTATATGAACGTTTAGGCAACACGAGTCAAAGGCAGCTAACTATCATCTTGCACACAGATGGAGCACCTGTGACTAAAATTGGCGGAAAATCATTGTGGCCAGTCCAGGCAACAATTCTTGAAATACCCCCACCTATAAGAGATCATATAAGTGCAGTCATGGTATTTGCTGCTTGGTTGAGTGGCAGTCATTCAAGCAGAGAGCTATTGTGGAATAGTATCGTTGAACAAATTCATAATTTATATAACAATGGAATAATAATAAAATTACACGATAATACAAAAATTAAATTTAATATTCGAATACAACTGATTACATTTGATCTGCCTGCACTTGCTTTCAACTGTAACATAGTTCAATTAAATGGTTATGATGCTTGTCCATTCTGTAAAATCCATGGCTATTCAATAGGAAAACAAATATTTGATGTTTATTCACAAACACCATCATCCGACAAGACTGATCATGATTATATTCAGTTATCGATGCCCAATAGACCAAGATTGAGGTCAAGTAGTATTAAAGGATCTATTCCTTTAACAAAAATAATGTTATTTCCAAGCCAAATTGCGGTTGATTACATGCATTTAGTGTGCAGTGGACATTTTAAAACATTGATCACTTACTGAAATCATCTACTGTTACCACATGTATTCGATCAAGCATCAAATTTTTTACTATCTATTACACCACCACACTCGTTTGGATATCAGTTTATGCCCTTAACTCAATATGCTAATTGGAAAACGAAAATGTTCAGGTAAGAAAAATTTGCATGTTCAGTAGGAGTGAGAATATTTTAGTGGAAAAACGAGCGAAAAAATGTGAACACAATTGTCATTTTCGAGAAAAGTGTATATGCTGTAAGAATCAGTATTAACTTACTGTTCACATTGAAGATATTCATCTTTATATTCATACGATTAGTAATTTAAAACAATTTTCTTTTTTTCTCAGAGCTGAGAACGAAGTAAGCAATTAGTATCTGAATAAAAAACTTTTATTATGACAATTGTCAACCTATAACGAATTCAAATGTCAAGAAAAAATTCATGATTTGTGTTTTTTTTCTATGACAGAGATTTTTTATTATATTGCATCTCCAATATTTGTGATTACGTTTTTACCAGATACATTAGCTCTACATTTTTTGCATTATTTCATTTATATTCGTGTATTATATTTTTAACAGCACAAGAATGAATTACGTGATATTGATCGGTTTTTTGATTTTACTATAAACATTTAGCCGAGTACTATGGACCGAAGTCAGAACATTGTACAGTTCATATACATACGCATGTTCTATCTCAAGTTAATAGACATGGATCTCTATCAATGACTTCATGTTTTCCTCGTGAATCTTATTTTGGTCATGCTGTTAAATGGTGTCACGGCAAGAAGTTCATACTAGAGCAATTCATGACTTGGTACAAGATTGATCGTACTTTATATCCTGATAATACATTAAATATTGCTTACTTAACTCAAGACGAACATTTTGATGAAAAATATTTAGATAAAGCAATCGCTAGATCTTTAAATGATACTTTTGTAAAATGTTATGATAAAAAGCATATCAAACTCCATGAAGCAAATCCTGTTAAACGATATCCTCGTTATTTTAGAGGATTGAAAAAATTTCATTCAATATCCTATGTGCGTGGTGGAAACCCTATTAGTTATTGGATATCGATTAAAAATGATAGTTGCCCACAAAATCATGGCGTCTGTTTTGGTGAAGTTATTTATTATTTCCAAATAGATCATGAATATTATTCATTTATCAAACACTATAAATGTCTAGGTAAAAGTTTAGCTGATGGCTTACCATCAACACCTGTTTCTCAAAATCTTCTCGATCGTTTAAACATGTATTACCGTTTTTTTCATGACAAAAAATTCACATACAAAATTGTATCAACTTGTTGGATAACTAACGTAGTAATTCGCATGCCATGGATTGAACCCAACGTATCAGCTTTTACTGAGGTGCATCTAGATAGAGAGCATGATTGAAAAGATAAAACATTGCTGATATATGTATTCATTGTTACTTCTTTTGCAAATGCTTTTCATATACAAGATGTACATATCTGCTTATTGCTATAAACTACATTTATCGCAACCTAAGGTTTTTTACTTGATAAAAATGACATTAGATTTAAGGCTGATTTATCTCATAATCATTACTAATAACTAAATACATTTTGATTCGCGACACCTATGTTGAAAGCAGTCAACTTGCTAAAAGTTGATTCAAATCTGCTGCATCTATTTATTTTCAAATGATAAATTTCAACCAGTTAAATAATCTTTTTGTTTCAGATGAATCAATCTAGATACAGATACTTGTTTTGAATTCGATATATTCAAAATATCTGAATTCTTATAAAATCATTTAATATTTTTAGATACTGTTCTTTTTTCAGACAAGTATGGACACACTTACTCAACGTTCACAACGCACAACGGCTGGCAGAACATCTAAATATGCTGATTTTTCAGTTGTTTCGTTTCCTCAACTGAAAAAACATGCTATCGTCAAAGCATCCTTAATTAATTTCTATCCACTCAGTTGTCCTCTTGGAGTTCAAGCTGGTAATATAAAGGCTCATGGAGAAAGAAAAAAATTACTAGTTATCAAAACAGGTGAGATCAACTTTTTTTTGACAAGAAAAGTTTCAATTTAATTTGAAGGAAGTCATCAAGAAATAGAAGAAGTTTCAAGTCGATTTTCAAAAGAATCAGGAAGTGAAGAAATCTTTATTCCAGACCATGAATGTGAATATCATCCTCAAGATCTTTGTGAACAAACAATGGATGATGATTTGAATTTTGACGATGATATATATACACCAACGACAAACCGAACAAAAAAAAACAATAAAACCGATTACAACCAATGAACAACAACCAATAACAACAACAACAACAGGTATCATGTCGGTCTGACCAACGTCAGTAAAGTATTAGTGGTCTCTTATTATTGTTTTTTATTAGATATTACGAATAAATAGTTCGATATTTGAGCTGCATTTTTATCTTCTTTTTGCAGCAAACTCGTCTAAAATATATAAGAAAAAAATCTAAGGAAGAACAAGTTAGCTAGACGTGTTTCAAAATTTTATTAAAATTCTGACATGCTATGTTAAAAATTAATTGATAAAATTAATTGATTGACAGTCGAAAATTTTGAAAGATATATTTGTACAGTGGAAACTTTTCGCTTCGATAAAAACAATTGTCCTTTACATTTTAGGCTTCGACAAAGACGATGATGATTTCAATCGAATTTTCTGTAGTACTCCTCGATTAAAAGTTACAAATGGTGGTAAACGTAAAAAAGGGAAGATGTTGACAGTAGTTCTCTATTTGTTTCGTCTGATAGTGATCAAGAAAGTACGTACATTTCTGTTTGCTAAAGACATATTAGATAAATTTTATTTTTAAATTTGAAGATCGATGGTCAAAAAATTAAAAAAATCTCATTAGAAAAAATATTGATTTGGAGAATTTGAAAAACAAGAAAACACATAAGAAAAAGCAACGATCAGATATGATGATTGTACAACGTAAGTCTCGTTTAAAACTTGATTGCATATAAAGCTTTAAATGTTCAATTGAATGTATTTTTTTTCTTAAAGAATCTAGTGATGATTACAAATCCATGGTTGGGTATGGGTGAAGAAAATATGACACCCATATCCACACCCACACCCATACCCACACCCACACCCACACCCACACCCACACCCACACCACCACCACCCACACCCACACCCACACACCCACACCCCACACCCACACCCCACACCCACACCCCACACCCACACCCAAAGAAAACTCTCCACCATCTATTTATCCCGCGATAACTATAATCAAAAATCATCTATCAACATTTAACACTAAAACTAAATCAATCTAAATCTCTCATTGAATCAACGAAAACGAACGCACATTTCAGAAATGAGACCATTCTCTCCTCGCGTTTCGTCCGCATTTGTAATCGATTTAGAGATACTATGCCATCTGATGAGACTGTCTGAGCAACAGTCGAAACACGTCGTAGTAACTTCTACACACCCACCAACCCACACACCCTTTAAATGAAAGATATTAAGTTGTAAAGAGATAAAATCAGAAATATTGAAATCATGTTATGTGGAAAAAAATGTCCTGTGCATAAGACTTAAATTTTGAGTGTGAAAAATTTTGATCATTTTGAAAGTAAGAAGTGCAACTGTTAGCAAAGCGATTCCAGGAAAATTGTAGAGCTTTTCACGCTACATCTTGTGATGTGTTTCTTTAGATACAGGATATTAAGTCAATGAAAACTGAAACACAGAATGTGACCATTCATCCTGGCACGCCAACTACTTACGTTAGTGTTAACCAAAAATTCATGCAACATTAAATAAACATATAAAGATGCAGAGATATTTTCAATTTTATTTTATCAAATGTTGAGGATAGTTGCCATGATTATTTATATCAAGTTCAATCCTGTTTAACAATTTATTAAAAGCTTTTTTTGAAGTGTTTTTCGAAAAAAAAATTTAGCTGTCTTGGAAACCACATGAGCTAAACATATTTCATTTGTTTTAAAAATTTAGTGGAATTTTGTTCAATTATGTCAGTTGCATTCTAGAATTACTAGTAATGAGATATGGTTTTATTTTAGATAGATCAGTCATAAGTCATCTAGTGCTAACTGATTTATTGAAGATGAATTGTCAAAGACTACTGTTCATGGAGACAGATGTGAAGCAAAATTTTGTTTAGTATATTCATTAAATCAAATAGTCCTGAGTGTAGATAAAGGCAAGATTGTAGATCACAAGTATTATATTGAAAATTATCTGAACCCTTTTGTTAATGAAATATGGAAACAAACATAGACATCAGGTTCAAAATATACAAAATTGCTTAAAGATGATCGTTGACTTCATACTCATCTGATGTTATTAATTGTTTGACAGAAGAAGACATCAATATAATGTTATAGAAGTGACATTCGCCAAGCATGGTACTATGTACTTTGTGGTTAACTAATTTTATCGAATGTAGTTTAACTGATTAAATAAATGAAATATGATTAGTTCATGTGGTTTCCAAGGCAGTCAAAACATTTTTTTTCGAAAAAAACACTTCAAAAAACCTTTTTATAATTTGTTAAAAAGGATTGAACTTGATATAAATAATCATGGCAACGATCCTCAACATTTGATAAAATAAAATTGAAAATTTCTTTGCATCTTTATATTTTTATTTAATGTTGCACGAACTTTTGGTTACCACTAAGTAAATATAACTAAAGGGATTCATCAGTAACAAT